AAAGTATGACTCATAACAGTTTTAAGAAGTTTCATACATCGGTGAAAAATTTTGGAAATGAAATCTCAAAACGTCCCAAGAGGGTAATTAGTGATTTTTTTAAGACTTTAGGTATGACTCATAACAGTTTTAAGAAGTTTCATACATCGGTGAAAAATTTTGGAAATGAAATCTCAAAACGTCCCAAGAGGGTAATTAGTGATTTTTTTAAGACTTTAGGTATGACTCATAACAGTTTTAAGAAGTTTCATACATCGGTGAAAAATTTTTTAAATTGTACTCGCAAAACGTCCCAAGAGGGTAATTAGTGATTTTTTAAGACTTTAGGTATGACTCATAACAGTTTTAAGAAGTTTCATACATCGGTGAAAAATTTTTTAATTGTACTCGAAAAACGTCCCAAGAGGGTAATTAGTGATTTTTTTAAGACTTTAGGTACATATGACTCATAACAGTTTTAAGAAGTTTCATACATCGGTGAAAAATTTTGGAAATGAAATCTCAAAACGTCCCAAGAGGGTAATTAGTGATTTTTTTAAGACTTTAGGTACATATGACTCATAACAGTTTTAAGAAGTTTCATACATCGGTGAAAAATTTTGGAAATGAAATCTCAAAACGTCCCAAGAGGGTAATTAGTGATTTTTTTAAGACTTTAGGTACATATGACTCATAACAGTTTTAAGAAGTTTCATACATCGGTGAAAAATTTTGGAAATGAAATCTCAAAACGTCCCAAGAGGGTAATTAGTGATTTTTTAAGACTTTAGGTATGACTTATAACAGTTTTAAGAAGTTTCATACATCGGTGAAAAATTTTTTAATTGTACTCGTCCCAAGAGGGTAATTAGTGATTTTTTTAAGACTTTAAGTATGACTCATAACAGTTTTAATTTACTGTTGAAACAGTACAGAAGGAGCCCACACCGTCAGTGAATATCATGATTTACTGGATGAAGTGCTCAAATAATGAAATAAGTAAAGTTGAAAACAAAATTACCTTTAAAGCAAAAAATCAAATATTTCAGTGAAGTGATCGCCACCTAGCGGGGAACACTCCAAATGAAAAGAAAGCTTTCAAAAAGCGGAAGAAAAATTTCAACAACTCCTAACAGCTTTATTATACATCTTAGATAATCAGTTATGTAATTTATTTAAAAGATAAGATAGATTAACGATTTTCTTTTGATAAGTTATTCAGTTCATATCGTAAGCTCGATGGCAACAGACTAGGAAAACTTTGATGATGATCACGAAAGTGTTAAAGAAAAGTTCATCATTAAGGATGATAATAAATCCGATGAAACTGATGATGAAAAGATTGACGACGAGAATTCAGCTTTTCAGGAAGAAAGTTCAAAATTGTAAGCAAAAGCTATAAATCATTGAAGAAGGTTGAATTCTATAAAGATCATAAATTTTAATTATCTTTCCCAGCTTTGGAAGTAAAAAGTCATTTGTGTTGGTTTACACGTTAAGTGCGATGCTTTTTAATTGTGGTGGCTCCTACACTCGTGGTATTATCTCAACATTGGAAAAGCAATATAAACTATCAAGTACGAGTATTGGAGTGATGTATGCTTTGGAAGATGTCATCAGCGGCATTTTGGCTATCATCATTCCTTACTATACATCCAAAGGACATTTCCCACGTTGGATTTCTTTCGGTTTGTTTCTTCTATCAGTTTCATTAGTGTTGCAAGTAGTACCTTATGCAATTTATGGACCGGGAAGAGATGCGCTTGCTTTAACGGAAGAATATGGATCGGAATTCAATGGCAATCTTACATGGGAACGCATAAAACGAAACAAATTAAAAAATTTATGTTTTGAAAATAGTAATGCCCAACTTTTGTTTAACTCTTACACTTTAATAAGAATTCAATTCTTTCTTAACATTTAGAGACAACAATCGAAGACTGTTCTGATGACGTCAAGAATGAATATCAATTTGCGACAACAATCATCGCTATTGCATCGTCATTTGCTGGATGTGGTCAGCAGTTTTTCAGCACACTTGGAACTACATATCTTGACAACAATATTAAACGATCAAAGATTCCATTGATTTATAGCGCTCACAGATTTGTGCGTCTTCTAGCACCAGCGATTGGATTAAACACAGCGTCATTTTTCTTGAAATTTTATGTTGCGCCGCATCTTCATCCGACGATCAACAACAAAGATCCACGATGGATTGGTGCATGGTGGGGTGGCTACATAATCTTAGCAATTGCTTCGATTCTTCTGGTTCCTATTTTGGCAAAATTTCCAAGAATGCTACCACGAGCTGTTGAAAGGAAACGAATGAAAGGCGAACAGTTGATGAAAAACGTTGAAAAGCCTTCAATTCAAGATCTTTTCGACACCATTAAAAGACTTTTGACAAACAAAACATACTTTTGCAATACGATGGCAGCAATTTTCTATGTTTTCGGTTTCATTCCTTACGGATATTTCATGCAAAAGTATCTTCAAATTCAATTTCTTTTATCACCTTCGTTTGCCAACGCAATGACGGGTTCAGTGAGCTTTGTAGCATCGGCTGTAGGACTCTTAACTGCTGGAATCGTAATCACGATATTTAAACCAAGAGCACGATATCTTGCTGGTTGGAATATTGTTACAAGTTTCATAAGTGCGTTGGGATTGATCGCGTTTGGATTTGTTGGATGTCCAGCAAACAACAATGCAGAAATTTTGAGAAAGTTCGTAATTTCCCTTTCCCATTTAAAATCGTAAAACAAATTTTTCTTCTCATTTAAAGCTCATTGGAAAGTGCACGTTGTAACATGGATTGTCATTGTGACTTTGTCAAATATTCTCCAGTATGCGGCATTGATGGTGTCACTTACATTTCCGCATGTCATGCTGGTTGTCATGATGACTTTAAATTTAAGAATGGAACGAAAGTAAGCCAAAATTTTGATTACTTTTACAGTTTTTAATCTTTTTAATCTTTCCAGATATTCACAAACTGTGACTGCATCAATTCTGATAAAGATTTTCAATCTTTTACATCAACAGCAATCAATGAAAAAAAATTTAACAGTTCAGCAAAGCCAAGTCCATGTTATGTTGATTGCCTTTCGTATTTTTATATTTTTTTGATTGTGAATTGTATCAACAAATTCATTGGTGGAACTGAAGGTGCTACGAACTTCCTGATGGGATTGCGTTGTGTTGAAGAAAGAGACAAAGCAGTTTCGCTTGGACTCACTTCGGCAATCATAAAGTTTGGCGCTGTGATTCCAAGTCCAATCGTGTTCGGTTATATCTTTGATCGTTCTTGTATTTTATGGGGTCAAACTTGCTCGAAAAATGGTAATTGTTGGCTTTATGATAATGACGTCATTAAATATACATTTAATGTAACTGCTGGAATTTTCATTATGATTGGCACATTTTGGGATATCGGGACTTGGTACTACGCAAAAGATGTCGAAATATTTGATGCTGAGTTAAAGGATGAAAAAGAAAGTGACGAGAAATAAAGAGTTGAAACCAATTATGTACTTGAAACACTTGAAAACTTAGTTAAATATTTAATTTTTGGTTGCAGTGACTCAAACACTTCATTGTGGAAATGTTTTTGACGTTCGTAGTTGAATCATCGACAAGTAAGTGACCGCAAATTAATTACTGGAATAGTTTCGTTTACTTTCAAACTGAAATGTTTTAAAAAGCAATTTCAAGGAATCTTTATAAGAACAAAAGTGTCGCTGTAAAGTAAAAATAGAACGCTATGATTAACTGAACGGAGATAAAATTTTAAAAAAGACTTTTTAAAGCAAGCACTTAGTAAGAAATTTATTTTAAAAGTTTATAGAATAAAAGCAATATTTGGATACATTAATTAATTTCAGTCTTATTTGTGTGTGTGTTTGTGTGAAATATCTTAAGATTCTTTGATAAAACGAACCTATGAGATGAG